TAGGAAGTCTCTCGGAATCTAGCATAACTTTTCCATCACCTTGCAGTAGAAGGTATCTATGAGGATTTCCCCATGATAAAAAGGATCGGGCTGTATAAATTTAAAGCCAAGGTGCATAGTTCAGGGTTTTTTGATTATCGGTATTATAGTTGTATTGGGTCGGCTCTACCGGGGAAGGACCACGCTCTCACAGAAAACCAGCTTAAAATAGCAGCTCAATGCAGCTGTGTTTCGTATGGTGAGCGTAGAGAACCGAAGACCCGTTTTACTGGGATCGAGGCATTCCATCTTAGTCCTCAGGGGTGACAACGCATCTGCATTTTGATTCTTAGTCGAATGTAGATATCTATGGGCCACAGCATCCACTTACCATCAGGTGGACTGTGTGCTCGTGTGTCACCTTATCCTATATAAAAAAGCGCTACCAAACCGATTCCCAAATCGTCGACAAGAAAACTATATAACGTTATTATGAAGATAATAATAATAATAATAATAATAATGTTTATTTCTCCTCACAAATACCGACCATACATAATAAAAACTTATATATATTTAAATACAGGTATGTTCACACTCATAGCCTAGAATCTGTGAAGAGCTGGTGTTTGAGATAGGCAATAAAATGCCTGTATTACAAATCACCAGGTCTCCACCCCATGAGATATAAATAAGAGCATTATTTGTAATTGACCGCTACAGATATTGTAGATCTTGGGATCATAATGTATTATTAATCAATGATATATAATCAATGTCAATATATATATATATATATATATATATATATATATATATATATATATATATATATATATGTATATATATATATATATATATATATATATATATATAAGTGACATTTTAATTTATATTTAAAACAAAAATTGTACTAAAAAAAAAAAGGTAATATAAAGTAACAGTGGTTTCGTAACCTCAACCTCATATTGTGTGTGTGTGTGTGTGTGTTGTGTGTGTGCGCGTTTATGTTAACATTAGAAGATCTTACCGAAATCGATACTGCGTATATTTATGTCGCAGCCAACTAGCTTAATCAGCCTTTCAGTCTAGCCTTTTAACTAAACGGAGCCGTTCAACTGACTTCCTAAATGATATTCAGCCGTAGCGTTTGTTATATTTAATAAGCTAGCTGGGTAATGTGTAGGTAATTCGTACGATAGGGTAAAACAGCACAGTTCAACTAGCGGCCTAGTAAAGAGTCTAGGCTGTTGATTTAACGGCTGGTTAAGCTAGTAGACTGCGACATTTATATTGCTTTATCGCTGTTTAGTCGCTGTTGAGCCGGGTCAAATTGTAGAAGTCTCTTTTAGATAATCTGCACTTGACGTCAACTCCTTATTCCAAATGTATGTTGCATCGATGTTTTACGAACCAGTCTAGAAACGATCTTAAAAGTACTAATTTCAATTTAACGTTAGTATAATATGTGCTGAGTGGGGAAAAACTACGTTAACAAATCTGTATGAGAAATATTTTCTAATAAAACTTTTAGTGGGGGTGTATCAATACCCACTACCCCATATCATTCCGTGGGTGTCGTAAGAGGCGACAGAGGAAAACAGAAATATGAGTTAGGCAGCGGTATCTTCCTGATAACAACTCAAAATAATTAAAATATATGGTTGCCACCCATGCCAAGAAATGGATGTCAAGCGTGCCAACTATGGCAAAATCTCCCCTATATGGCAATCAATGGGAAATGCTTATGTTCAGCAGTGGACTTTTATGGCAGTAGTGGAATAAAGTGGACTTCCCTCGAATAAAACCTTGAACACAGCATTGAAAAGGTAAAATAACGTTACTTTTTAGAGTATGTTAAAAATAAAGGATCTTATCCAAGTTATAATGATGTAACTTAATTAGACAGATCATACAATACATAAGCCCAACGCTAAGAAAAATATGGACTACTGTTGCGATATATCGTAAAGCAATAATATTCCGACGACTAAAATCAACTCGATGAGATAAAGTAAGTTAACGAGTATTACACAATAACAACAATTACTTTAATAGGAAATTTAAAAAAAATACTTAAAAGATAGCCAAGTCTGTAATGTTAGAATTTACTCAATAATGTATCAAAAGTTGGATGTTCCCTGATATAGGAATTAAAGTTACTGGCAATGTTTGGTATGCAACCTGGCAGGGACTCAGTCGTTGTCAAAGCTTTGTCGCATACCCAGGCTGCATTCCGTATCGCCATTTGTTTTTCAAGTCTCACTTACTTCGGAAGAGAATTCGGATCCAAGAAAGTTGTATACAGCGAATCACAAGCTTACGAATTTAAATATCGGAGATTATTCCTTCGAAAACGTAACTTGTGTATATATTTTTACACAGTAAATAAATGAAAATGAGTGTTTAAAATGAAAACGAAAAAGAAAATCCGTATATATATATATATATAAATATTCCAATATTTCCACTCGAGGAATCATTTGGATTATTTTCATTTGTAAAAAGATTTGCCAGAGTTTAAGAAAACATGCTGCCTGTTCATAAAACATATGGATCCTGAAAGCTTAATGAAAAAAGTAAAAGCCAACTTTGAATAAATTAAAAGAATAAAGTATTTTCGCACTGTGAATTCGGTACTAAACATAGGTTATGAAGAATTAAATCCAGAGTGTGAAATTATTTTATTCTTTTTAATTCTTTAAAGCGTTAATTCAATTTTTAACTTTTTTTAAGATTGGATTTGGGTAATTACATTTCACAACAATTCCAAATTCCAATCATCAACGTGAAACACTTTCAGAGTACCTCTGTAATAGATGTTTATTCTTCAATTACTCTTAAAGTTCTACTTTGTCAGATATTATATGTAAAATTAAAAAAATCATAGTAATATTTCCAAATCGAAAATCGACGTACAAAATCCAATTTCCCTACCGAAGAGAAACGAAACAATTTTAATTTAGAGAAAGCAGTCGATACTTTCAACATATCGACTGTGCCACGATTCGCCGTCGGAGCGTCAAAAGTTGTATCTTTCGTCCACCTTTTTACTCGTTCTTAACAATGGAACTCTGTAGTTCACGTTCAAATAGTAACTTAGATAAAAGCGTGGAGGAATCAAAAGTAGTTTCGCAGGGAGTTACCTTAGGCCCTGCTCTATTCGAATTGTTCAAACTTTCCCACTTTCACGTTTCCTTTTATCCGTTCGAAAGTGTTCGTCTGTTAAATTATTATTTTTGCTTTTTCCACTTCGAGTTACATGGTGCGTGTAATATAGAGTTCGAAACATTTAATCTCGAACAGTTGACGGTGTTATGTCGAAGATTTTTCAGTTCTTACTATAATTTAATAACTTTATATTGATCCGCGATTTTATGATATTTATTTTAGTACTAAGACACTACTAATAGTATATTCATTATTATTAATTTCGAATTTACAGATATTTAATAATGCCTAAAGTAGTATTAATAAGAAGTTAAACAATAAACTATACATATATTAAATCTGTAGTAAAGTTGTGTATAATTCTAATATTCTGGGGACTATTACTATAGAGGATAATTAAGTCAAATCAAAGATTGAGACCTGTATTCATATTGAAATAGTTTTTAGTTTAATAATTAATCTATAAATAAATTATCTTCATCTAATGATCAATCTAATAAAATTGCACTGCTGGACATAGACCTCTTCCGTTGCATGGATTTGTAGGGAGGATTTACCTTAAAAGTCATGCGTGGCAAGCCAAACCTATATTATTGCCATTATTTAAAAAGCTTTATCTTACTTACTACTAAATAGACAATGATTGACTTATGGCATCATCAGGGTGTATAATTATTATTTAACCTGTTATTAGCGCCATCTATCGAAAAACAAATTAAAAGTTTTAAAAAAGTTTCAGCAGATATACCTCCTCCGCTCATTTCTAAGAGGGTTTTAGGGAAAGGTATAGTCTGCCGCGCTGCCCCAATGTGTGTTGGCGAACTTCACATGTCTTCGAAATATTTTTAATGACAGAAAGCTGATTGCATACTTATTCGGGCAGCTTATAACCAATCTAACTTAAGAGATGGCAAAATATATTACATATCTAGCATAAATAGTATGCTACACATAGCTAATTTTGGTAAAATTTAAATTTTCATATTTTTATATACAATTTTTATACATTTAGAGCCAATTTTGCAATCGTCCAATAAAAGTAATCCATCGAATAAATGTTACCGGTCCGATTATAAAAATGAAACAACCACCTATTTTATTTATATAATAGTCCAGGAGGAATCGGCGCATGAGTACTGAAATCTATTCCACTTAATTTTTTATGCGATTGTCTTTAAATTACCCTACTGATGATATAAATGCGTGTTGCCAAGGAGCAACTCGGTGCCATATGGTTAAAACCGATTTTTTTTTTTTCAATTTCAAAAACTTGATTTTTTATATTGATTTTAGACAAAAGTTTATAAAATTCTTTTTATTCGTATTTGTCAAATAATTTGTAAGAAAAATATTACATTTTTTAATATTATTTTTTATGTATTAATTTATAATTTATTAAGAATTGCATTGTCCATAAAATAGAATCGTATTTTTGAGGGGGACTGTTGACATATACAAAATACTAGTTAACATAAAGTCTCTTTAATAACGGATGTAGTCAAAACAAGTCTATTATTTTTTTCTCTGTTAAACGATAAACATTATGTTGGCATTCTAATACAGAATTTCGTACAGTACACACAGACTTCCATTTACCCCATAACCGTATTCCAACAGGCATAAAAGTACAATTTATTTAATTATTAGGAACTTTATTCAGTGCCGTGTAGTGGCGGTTAAGAATATCTACTACCCCATATCTTCCCGTGGGTGTCGTAAGAGGCGACAGAGGGAGACAGGCAGGAGATGGGCAGCAGCATCTTCCTGATAACAGCAACTGTACGACAAAAAAAAAAACTGCGGTTGCCAACCCGCTCGCCAAGCGTGGCAACTATGGCAATATACCCCCCATGAACAATTACACAAATAGACGGCCCCCAGTCCCCGGCGGCCCCGCTATTCCTGGCTACGGTGGCGACCATGGTAACGGCGGGGCAGGGGGTGCTAAGAATCTCCGGTGGAGGTTCGGTTGCCACCTACGACGACTCGACCTGGCAACATTTAACGCACGCACACTGAGGACTGACGAGAAGATCCTGGAGCTGGAAGAAGAGATAGACAAGTTGCGCTGGAGTATTATAGGATTATCCGAGGTCCGAAGAGAGGGGGAGGACACGGTGATTCTCGAATCCGGCAACTTGTTCTATCACCGGGAGGGCGACCATCTGTCCCAAGGAGGTGTCGGATTTATCGTCCACAAGTCTCTCGTCAACAACGTTGTACAGATTGAGAGTGTGTCGACGAGGGTCGCGTACCTGATACTCAGAATCACCAAACGGTATTCGCTGAAGGTCATACAGGTTTACGCACCAACGTCGGCACATTCCGATGAGGAGGTGGAGGAAATGTATGAGGATATTTCCAAAGCCATACATTCCTCCAAAACCCACTACACGGTGTTGATGGGAGATTTCAACGCAAAACTAGGCACAAGAGAAAGCGGTGAGCTGACGTTAGGGAAATTTGGAGTAGGGCAACGGAACCGAAGGGGCCAGCAGCTGGCCGACTTTATGGAGAAAGAGGGACTCTTTATGATGAACTCTTTCTTCCAGAAGCGGCCCCACAGGAAGTGGACCTGGTCGAGCCCCGACGGTTCGACAAAAATGAGATTGACTTCATTATGACGACCAGACGCCAACTGTTCAGTGATGTCTCAGTGATCGCAAGGGTGAAAACTGGCAGCGATCACCGAATGGTTAGAGGCACACTGAACCTAAACGTTAAGTTGGAGAGGTCTCGTCTAATGAAGTCAACGCTCCGTCCCCCTCGTGCTCTGATCCAAAATCCCGAAAACTTTCAGCTCGAGTTACACAACCGCTTTCAGTGCCTACAAGATTGCAATGCAGTGGACGATATGAATGACAAGCTCGTGGAAACTGTCCATGCGGTCGGAGCTAAGTTCTGCAAGACCCGCCGCAGAAGAACACAAAAACTCTCCGATCACACTCTTAATCTCATGGCTGTTAGACGGGAGATGAGGCTGCAATCGTCAACAGATTTGACAGCATACAGGCAACTGAACAGACAGATCTCCAAATGCATGCGGCGAGACTTACGCAACTTTAATACTGCTCGTATTAAAGAAGCGATCGAGCGGAACCAGGGCTCCAAAGTCTTTGCCAGAGATCTGTCTGCCAGAAAGAGCCAACTGTCAAGGCTGAAGACTGAGTGTGGCAGCATCGTTTCCGGGACACCTGAGATTTTGAGTGAGATTGAGAGGTTCTATGGGCAGCTGTACACATCATCGTTGGAGCCACACGCAAGTAACGATCCAAGAGCATGTCTTATCCGACACTATTCCGATGATATCCCGGACGTCAGTCTAAGCGAGATTAGAATGGCTCTCCAGCACCTTAAAAACGGCAGGGCCCCAGGCGAGGATGGAATTACAGCGGAGCTTCTGAAAGCGGGTGGAACACCGGTACTTGAAGTCCTTCAGAAGCTCTTCAATTCCGTCCTCCATGGTGGCACTACTCCAGAGGCGTGGAGCAGAAGTGCGGTGGTCTTGTTCTTTAAGAAAGGCGACAACGCTCTCTTGAAGAACTACAGACCGATTTCCCTTCTGAGCCGCGTCTACGTGCTGTTTTCGAGAGTCATTACGAATCGTCTCGCACGCAGACTCGACGACTTCCAGCCTCCCGAACAAGCCGGTTTCCGAAAAGGCTTCAGTACCATAGACCACATACATACCCTGCGGCAGATTGTACAGAAGACTGAAGAGTACAATTTGCCACTTTGCCTGGCGTATGTGGACTATGAGAAAGCCTTTGATTCCGTCGAAATTTGGGCAGTGCTGCAGTCCCTTCAGCGGTGCCAAGTTGACTGTCGGTATATTGAAGTGCTGAAGTGTTTGTACAGTAGGGCTACGATGGCTATCCGAGTACAGAACCAGAGCTCGAAACCTATCCAACTGCAGAGAGGTGTAAGACAGGGTGACGTTATATCCCCGAAACTCTTCACCGCTGCTTTGGAAGACGTTTTCAAGCTACTGGACTGGAAAGGATGCGGTATTAACATCAATGGCGAGTACATCACTCACCTTCGATTTGCCGACGATATAGTCCTTATGGCAGAATCGCTGGAGGACTTAAGCACTATGCTCAATGACCTCAATAGTGCCTCCCAACGGATAGGTCTTAAGATGAACATGGACAAAACAAAGATTATGTTTAATGTCCATGTCACACCTATGCCGGTAGTTGTTGGGAGCACTATGCTCGAAGTTGTTGACGAGTACGTTTACCTGGGACAAATAGTCCGACTAGGTAAGTCCAACTTCGACCGAGAGGTCAATCGACGGATTCAACTCGGCTGGGCAGCGTTCGGGAAATTACGACATATCTTCTCGTCAGGTATACCTCAATCTCTGAAAACTAAAGTGTACAACCAGTGCGTGTTGCCAGTGATGACTTACGGATCAGAGACGTGGTCCTTCACTGCTGGCCGTATGAGGACGCTCAAGGTCGCTCAGCGAGCTATGGAGAGGGCTATGCTCGGAGTTTCTCTGCGTGATAGACTCAGAAATGAGGATATCCGCAGTAAAACCAGATTGACCGACATAGCCCAACGGATTAGTAAGCTGAAGTGGCAATGGGCCGGCCATATAGCTCGAAGAACCGATAACCGATGGGGAAGAAAGGTTCTCGAGTGGCAGCCTCGTACCGGTAGGCGTAGTGTAGGGCGACCCCCCACTAGATGGAGTGACGACCTGGTAAGATATGCTGGAAGTCGATGGATGCAGGTGGCTCAGGACCGTGCTTTGTGGCATTACTTGGGGGAGGCCTATGTTCAGCAGTGGACTTGTGAAGGGCTGTGATGATGATGATGATTATTCAGTGTTGTTTTTTCATCATTTCATTCAATTTAATTATACGTATAAATAATAAATACGTATAATTAAATTGAATAAAATATTAAAAACTTTAAGTATTAATTTTGAAAAATGCAATAATAAGTTATATTAGTAGTATACTGTAGTACGAATGGGTCGGTTCGACCGGGGAAGGACGACGCTCTCACAGGATACCAGCGTAGACTACGAGTATATATTGTCGTATGGTGAGTGTAGAGAACCGGAGCCCCTTTTTACTAGAAACGAGGCATTCCATTATATTCCTAACGGGTGACAACGCATCTTACTAAGTTAGAGTTAAAAGTAAAGTTTTATAAATTAATAACTCCGAAAATACTAACTTTATCGTAAAAAGTTATCCATCTTTTTTTAATACTTGATCAAAGAATATAAAAATAATTTTTCCCTTTCCAAATAACAATTCCTTGCAATTAAAAAAAATCGGTTTTAACAATATGGCACTGAATTGCCCCATGGCGACTTACATTTACATCATCAGTAGGACAATTTGAAGAGAATTGCATAAAAAATGAAGTGGAATAGATTTCGATACTCTCATGTCGATGTCGACCTTCTGGACTAAAACTGTAACTATTAATTTGTTTATCTTAAAATAATTTTCAATGATAATTGAAAAATCGGCCCTTAAACAAATAATAAACACATTTAACGCTAAAATTGAAACTTTAACTTATGTAACCAATTATTTATTGTAAGAGTGGAATGATATAACTTTTGGTATGTGACAAACATAAGACTTAGACTTAGACTTAGAAAATAACAATTATGGTTGTCCACAGATGGGACCCTAGGGTAAATTTTTATTTAAAATAAGGAACCAGTCCTACTACTGGAGGGAAGTATTTACTAGAATGTCTTAGCACCTTATTTGTTTGTTTCTAGTTATACCACAGTAAAAAAAGTTACAGCCTATATACGTCCCACTGCTGGGCACAGGTCTCCCCTCATTTCTGAGAGGGTTTTAGGGCAAGGAAGTATCCGCCGCAACGCCCCAACACGTGTTGGCGAACTTCACATGTCTTCGAAATATTTTTTTTCTTTTTCCTCGGACATGCATTTTTCCTCACGATGTTTTCCTTCACCGCCGAGCACGTGGTAATATCAGCATTTAAAATTGCAATTAACAATTTCATGGCTGCCGGCGGGGATCGAACCCGGGTTACTCGCGTTCTGTTATATTTACAGCGAGCGTTAAACATCTGAGGTATCACTATACCACAGGCATGACTATAATTTTCCGTTAGAACATTATAAATCAATAACCTTGTAGAAACCAATATTACTAAATCTTATTAACAACAAAGAAGAAGCCGCAGAGTTACCGTACATCCCTCTATTATTAAAAGCTAAAGATAACATCTCAACCAGCGCAACATCAATATTAATTTTGCTCTCAGCCACATTGTCGAGTGTTAAATTGTAGGAAGCGAGCCTCTTGTTACTATATTATTTCACGAGGAGCCGTAATTAATGAAAAACCCAACGTTGTATTCGAAAATGTTGCCATATTATAAATAATTGTTTTGAAAAATAATTGTATTTAATAATGTCACAGAAAAGAAAACTCAACGAAGCAATTCATAGAAATAGAATTATTTTTTAATACAGTCATAAATAATACAAATTGAAAGTCCTTTTTATGTTTTACTAAGCAATGGTTCGAAAAATATCTCTATTCTAAGATGAACCAGCCACAAAACTACACCTACGAATACGAGGCTGCGACTCGAGAACCTTTCTTCCCCATCGGTTGTCAGTTCTTCGACCTTATATATATATATATATATTAATATGGCCGTCCCTTTGCCACTTCAGCTTACTAATCCGTTTGACTATGTCGGTCACTCTGGTCCTAGTGCGGATATGCTCATTTCTAAGTTAATTACGCAGAGGAACCCCGAGCATAGCCCTCTCCATAGATCGCTGAGCGTCCTTATATGGCCAGTAGTGAAGGACCACGTCAAAGATCCATAAGTCAGTTGAATCTGTTGATTGACCTCTCGGTCGAATTCGGACTTACCTAGTCGGACTATTTGTCCCTGGTAAAAGTACTCGTCAACAACTTCGAGCTTAGTGATCCCAACAACTACCGGCATAGGTAGTAGGATGTTAATACCGTATCCTTTCCAGTCCAGTAGCATGAAAACGTCTTCCAACGCAGCGGTGAAGAGTTTCGGGGATATAACGGCACCCTGTCTTACACCTCTCTGCGGTTGGATAGGTTTCGTACTCTGGTTCTGTACTCGGATAGCCATCCTACCCCTACGGTACAAACACTTCAGCACTTCGATATACCGACAGTCAACTTGACACCGCTGAAGGGACTGTAGCACCGCCCAAATTTCGACGGAATCAAAGGCTTTCTCATAGTCCACATACGCCAGGCAAAGTCGCAGATTGTATTCTTCGGTCTTCTGTACAATCTGCTGCATGGTATGTATGTGGTCTATGGTACTAAAGCCTTTTCGGAAACCGGCTTGTTCGGGAGGCTGGAAGTCGTCGAATCTGCATGCGAGACGATTCGTAATGATTCTTGAAAACAGCTCGTAGACGCGGCTCAGAAGGGAAATCGGTCTGTAGTTCTTCAAGAGAGCGTTGTCGCCTTTCTTAAAGAACAAGACCACCGCTATTCTGCTCCACGCCTCCGGAGTAGTGCCACCATGGAGGACGGAATTGAAGAGCTTCTGAAGGACTTCAAGTACCGGTGTTCCACCCGCTTTCAGAAGCTCCGCTGTAATTCCATCCTCACCT